GGTAATACAGCCCTTTTTTCTGCCCCCTAGATTTAACCCTTGAAGTGCGGGGGAGAAAGGAGGGTTGGGGGCTGCCAGGTTTTTTTAATGAAGTTTTTTAGAATCAGTCTAAATGTGTCATGAAGGAATCTGACGTTTTATTCCAAAAGGCAGACTTCTAATACTTATAAATCAGAGAACCATCCTGAGCATTCCTCATCAGTTCCGTCATTCAGCTGATTTTCGACCAAACCATTTTCCACGTTCTGAAGACTCAGTATGTATGCTACTGAATATTAAAGTGACACTAAACTCAGGAGTTAAATCTTAAAAACACATTCAAGTACCATAACTATTAACAACAATGTATCTTATTTGTGTATCACTCGGCTGTAGATCCTCCCATCCTCTCTGGATTGGTGCTGACACTGTCCTTCCTTCTGGAGGGGGGCTACTTTTGTTCACCATGGTCCCTGTGTGTGTTGTAATGACGGCACCACTCCAAGCTTGCTCCTGTGATGGACTACAATCCCAATACAAATTATTAATGTAAACCTGAGATTGTAGTCCATCACGGGAGCGAGCTTGGAGCGGTGACTACTTTACAACACACACAGGCTTATGGCCGCGTGCATTGACTTACAAGTGAGTCTCTCCTCTCACCGCCAGTGATGTTCACTGCACATGCGCCCGCACACATCCCCCTATGCGGCCGTTAGAGAAGTTATAGTTCTAAAGTCAGGAGCGAGCGGCGCAGACCTAGGTACATTTTTACCTATTTGGTAACTTTAAAAAAAATTTTTTTACATATATCTCCTGCCTGCTAATGAGACTTTAATGTCACTTTAAGGAAAGGAAAACTGTTTATGCATCTGGTAGGAAGCAATTAGATTCCACCTCTTGGTTTTCTGGGGCCGGATAGAGAGTTTGGGGCAGGTGTAGTCAGGGTAGGGTTTGATCCTCCATCAGGTCTTTACAGCTCTGTGTGACCCCAGAAGTGAGATCTCTTGATCAACCCACATAACACTGACAGATCACTAAGATGAGGTTCTTTTTGTCTTCTGTAGAAGAGGATTCTTGTTCTAGGGAGAATCCACTAAAAGGTCAGGGACTTGGAGGTGATGTAAGTGTACTTCACTCTTTCAATGTTGCCCATCTTGACTAAACAGAATTCAGTGTGTGAAGGGACACAGGAAGCTCAGCTGCCATGCTAGAAATGAGTGAGTGGATGAAAATCTCCCCATGAGGGTCTTGGCTGCAAATATCTAGTATGGGATCAAACTCTACCTCATTCTGCCCAAAACTGTCCTTTTCGGTGTGAGTTTTGCTTTAAATTTAGTTACATTGGCCAAAACCTCAGTTTTCATTGACTGCCCCATTTGAATTCACTTTGGCCAATTCTGTGCTGCAGTTCACAAATCTGAACATAGGTGAGATTAAAGTGGTTTTGTCAAATACACAAAAGTTGGGTTTGAAACTGAGCTGAGCTGCAGCAGCCAATCAGGGAGCTGGAATCCAGTGACATCACCACCTCCCAGTGAAGCGATAGCCTGCATTTTTAGTTTGGTTTAGCTTACAAATGTGCAGACGATGGCTCCATTACGACGGCACCATCATCCATAACACCCAACATTACCCAGACAGGAGGAGCCAGTCTCGCCACGGCAATACTAGCACTAGTCTGTGCCTTTAAGCCAATATGCAGATTCCCCCTATTCAGGTATAATACATTTATAAATATATACAAGAGCACACAGTACATCATTTAAATAACTCTAGGGATAATAGTGCTCCGTACCTCTATCTACATGACTGCTTCATTGGTTACGACGCTATGAAAATATAGCGAATACTACAAAAATATACAAATTTCCAGCCTGACATCAGGTCACGCAGGTTGGCAACAAGGAAAATGTTTGCTGAGCTTTGTAAGAAGTAAAACCATCTCCCACTTCAGTGGCATATTCAAATACGTTTTGCTTTTGAGCAATTGGCTTTTTACATTTATGTGGAGGTTCTGCTTCCTTATGCCGGTATTAGCCATACAGTGTGGGGACCGTACTGGCACGGCATGCTCTGTCTAGACAGAACCCAATGGTGACAAGGAAGACCTTAATCTACGTGAACGGATACCTAAAAGCCTAAACCAGTGACACGCACTGTTCATGAAGGTTGTTTTATTGAAGTATCCTCCTACAGAAGCATGTTTTTTTTAGAATGTTGTAATTCAGCCTTATGGTGGAATGAATTCATCAGGAATAACCCTTGCTACTATCAGATGGTATTGCTCCAAAATGCAAACTGATTGTTATTGCTCATTAAAGTGGCCCTGTCATCATTGGAAAAAAAAATTAAACCAAAAGCAACCTGTAAAAAGTTTATATTTGCCATCAGAGGGCACTGTGGTGACATGATATCCAACACCCGACCAAAGGTGGCAGATAGCAGCGGTACCTGTAGCTCTCCATAAGAGGGAAGATTTAACAAATCAACTCCCGCATCTTTTATAGAGGGCTTTTGGCTTAATCTGTTTTTGGGGGGAAAGAGTTAGTTTTCTTATATCAACTTAAAGCTACATTAACAGTTTTGTAAGGGGAATAAATGAATAAAAGCCAGAAAGTTACCTTTCCTGATGACACCGATGCTGCAAGCTCCCTTTAGTTCTGAGAACCCGTCCAAAAGCCTAGATTTGTGGTCACGCAAAGGCTTTTGAAAGGGAGGATGAGGATCAGATCAACCAATCGTCCCTGTTGAGCAGAGAACATGTGACCAAATGCCTAGGCTTTTGGTCATGTGAATGAATTGGAAAGGGAGGATGAGGATCAGATAAACTAATCTTCTCTTTTAAGCACATAGATGTCACAGCTTTTGGTCACTTGATCAGCAATAAAGGGAACCTTAAGCAGCATTTTCTCCAGGAAAAAGTATATTTAGCTCTTTGTAATTACATTATTTTTCAATTCCAGCGAGACTGTTAACACAGCTTCAAGGTGATCTATAAGGTCTTATGCACACGGGCATAAACAAATTGCAATACAAAGCATTTGTTTTGGCTTATGGGTTGTTCACAGCCATGATAGATCAGTCGGCGTGTTCATACATCTTTTACCATGCTAAAACATCCACTTAAATACAAAATGTTTGGCCCACCGCACAGCATAACATGCCGCCCGCTTGAGAGTGAGAGATGGTTTATATAAATGGAGGTATTTTCTTCTAACGTACCTCAGGAAATACTTAACTGTTCTTTTTGCATACCTCTGGCCTAGTTATACAGGAAAAAAAAGCATTTGTTAAAGTGCGAGGCGCTCCATGCAAACGGCTGAAACAAAAAAAGGAACATGTAAATGTGGTAAAAGTAATACATTCAGAAAACAGGCGGGGGCGTAATAATGGTACTTAGAAGGATGTTATGGCACCGCATTAACGTAAGCTCCTAAGTAACCTTTACATGGAGCATAATGGTCTGATGCATTTTAAGTAACGCTCCCGATTTAAGGTCATATGGTCAATGAGACCTAAAAGAAGTTCCGTATTATTAAAGTTATCAGATGACGTCACACAGTGTCAACCGCCATTGTGTGTCCCGAAGTAAAATGGATTGGTGTGCAGCCTTTCAATGCAGCAGGTAGACTAACCATGTGGCCAGCAAACTGACTAATACGTTTTACTTCAAAGCACAAAATGGCTTCTGTGCGGTCACCACCTGACGTAACACTACAAGTGATAGACTAACGTGTCCTTTTGGGTTACCACGCACCCACATATTTTTTCCCCTTTCTTTTACCAGAAAGCGCAAAGTGTTCAGTTCATTGACAGCAATGCTTGACAGGAGCTTTGTCTGTGATTTCCACCAGGGATGTTCCCTGCTTTTCAAGAAAAAGAAATAAAAACACTTGTGGAAAAGGTGCAAACTGTTACACATCGCCCTCTAGAGTAGATCGGGAGGGCAAGAGGGCCTTTCATGCTTTGTACTCAGAGGCTGACGATGTGTCTTGTAAACTCAGATGTAGTGTTAAGGCAAGCAAACCAAGGTGCCACGTTCTATCTGCCAATCAGAACATTTAAATCTTATCCACACATTACAAGTTCCTCTATGTAACCGCTTCAGTCTCTCCTCTTAAAAAATAGTTTTTGCCCTCTAAGTGCACAGTGAGAGTCTACCTCACCTCACGTTCCTAGAACATTTTTGTATATCCCAGCCAACTACAATACTGGTTCCCTTTTTTTTTCCCTGGCCACATGCTCAGGCTTTAGTATCACTACAGTGCTAAAGGGAATTAGAAGCTCCTGCAACACCCTGAATAACCTAGGGACCCTCGAGGACTGTTGTACTATCCCAGGACTGACCAGCATGTCCTTCAAAATACTCTGGTCCCTTTTGAAAGCACCATCAATACATTGCAAGGAGCCTCTCCTGAAATTGGCTGGACATCAGCGTACTTCTTTGGTCCTTCTCATGGTTTCATCATTACAGGCTGCTTCTTGTAGATCAGTGTTTCCCAGCTCTGAAGCCAGATAAATGTCAACAAAACAGGTTCAGGACAGCCAGCTGCCACTGATATAGAACAAGCCACCAGGGCTCAAAGTACACTGTCATGCCTAATGCCACCAGGACACCTTGACATGGTTTCATTATAAGCCACCAGGGCTTACCAGGAATACATGTACATCTTTCAAGCCACCAGGGCCTAAAGAAGGGGCAATTCAGGGTTTTAAGAGCCTCCAGGGCGTAAAACTTCTGAACCAAGGAAGTAAGTCAAACCATGTTTGTTGATGTCAAGCTTGGAAACACTGATAAATATGCAATCAAGGGCCTTAAATGTGCAAAGGCCAACAAGAAAGCCATTTAAAAGTCTAAATTGAATCCTGCTGTTCTCCAGATGATTTACAGAATCAGTATCTGGAACTATATCCAGAAGTGATCCCAACACTCCTGGACTTGTGGAAAAAGCTCAGTGGAGCGCTCGGTCATCAACTGCTGAGATTAACAGAACAGGAACCCACACTGATGGTGTCCACTAACTGACGCTGGGGTGAACTCTGTTGTGGGCCCGCACTGACTTTCTCCGTTTGGTCTGAGAAGAATGTGATAACTGCACAGGAATGAGTGCTGGTTCTTCCGCCACCACCTTGTCCACCGTAATACCTTTGCTTGCTGAACTGTTCTCTAGTGCCTGAGAAACTGTGGATGGCCGTGGAGCTAGAGAATTCTTGCTGACTCTTGGGTAGGGCTCTGACTTAGAACTTCTGCTCTTTGTTGTGGTGAAGCTCCGGTTGAGACCTGTACTCACTTCTGTGGTGTATAATATTTTTTGGGTTGAAGCTTTTGCATGTTTTCTTCTTTTGGCCACTCTTCCCCGTACTTCTTCTAGGCTTTGCTCAATTTGATACACCTCCTCTGTGGCACCGTTTACTACATCAAACTGGGACAACAGTGTTTCCAGCACAGGCAACAATCTCTGCATATTGGCATCAACCTCTGCTCTCTCCCTGGTACTCATGGCGCTCAAAGTGTCCAGTTGGCTGGAGATAGTGGAAAAGGATGAGGAAGAGGAGGTGTCAGAAGCGGCACTAGGAGTGGAACCTCTAAGTGACTTAGTATCGCTGGAGGCACGAGAAGGAAGAGGCTCCATACCTTCGAACCTCACCTTGTGACGGAACTAGAACACAAAAGAGAAAAGTATAAGAAGATGTGACTTGATGGTGGTTTTCTAAATTTTTTTAAGCACCACAAAATGATTCTCTATTCTGTAAACATATATTATAAGGCAAGCAGCATTAAAGATGTATACGTTGCTTTATGTACCTCTTTCACCTTACTGACACCCATCCATATCCGTAACCTCCGGAGAAAAAGCTCCACCATCTCATAATCTTGGAGCTCGAATGCTGGTCTGAACATGTCGAGCCGAACTTGACGGTAGTTGTTGACCAAGATGACTGCAAAGAACTTCACTAGGATCCATAGTTCCAAGACCTGGTAGCTCACGAAGTAAAGGCGGTGTATGCAGGATGAATACGGGAAAGGAATTTTCAGACTAAAAGCACCACGAGCCACCGAGAAAATGGAGAGAACACTGGAGCCGAAGCTGTGAAAACTCTCCCAGGAGGAGGAGAAAAGCTGTGAGGGAAACACCACAGGCATTAACATAGGAAGACCTCCTTCCTGCTAGAGGTGCACATTCAGTAAATACACATTTAAAATTACCTTGTAAAATGTAATTTACTATTTTTTTAAGTGCTGTACATTTTTAAAGTGGAACTATGGGCAAAATCGCAAATGACACATATGATGCAGTCTGTCATTAGCAATACCACACCAGTGTTGTGCCTTCCTCTCCTTAGCTAAAAGGACAGCCACAGTGGCATCACATACCTCTATAAAAAGCTGTGTTCTCAAATACAGTACAAGTAAAAACTGTCATAATGCAAATATACTTCAAATGCAAGAGAATCTAAAAACTTGACTTTCTTAGACTAGACTACAAGACTTTTTTATTGATCTTTCCAGTAGGAAATTACTCACCAGAAATCCAAGTTGAGCGTATACCAGTAGCAGTCCTAACACCGCTCCAGCCGCGGCACAGAGCTCCCTCATAGACAGACTCAGTGTCTTCCCAAACATGGACCACTCTCGGATGAATCTGAGCTGCTGAGCAGCCTGGAAAAAGCAGAAGGGGTAATAGGATGTTTTAGTTGATTTTCTTAACATGCTTGGATGGAGTGGATGTAAAACTATTATGAAAAGTTGATCTCCTTCACGACCAGGCAGTTTTCAGATTTTGTAAAGGTGACAGTGGTCTAAAAACTGTTTAATGTTTTGGTTCTTTTGGCCTACCTGACTAGGGTTTTCATCTGGTATGACACACTGACTGGCATGTCCAAAAGTTCTTATTTCAATAAAAAATGGCAAAATATCAGAGAAGCTGTTCTTTTGTTTCTACCAGCTAACAAACCATTTCACAGCCTATTTTTGTTTCACTGAAAGATGAATTCAGGGGCCATGGACCCTTCTTCCCTTGCCTACCTAACTGTGCTAGTAATTGAAATAAAAATAGAAATGGCCCCAATAATTACCAGAATCCGGTCACACTGGGACCCGAGTCTAATCTATTCTGGAAAGCAGAGTGGGAAGGTTCTCTTTAGGTGCGCACACTGCTGCCTGTTAACGTGGATATTTCCCATTGGGACCATCAGTTGGATCCTCACAGAGACTCCAGAGGCAGGGTGACAACACGATGATCGGTGGTCTGTATTTCACTTTAAAATGCAGCCTGACAGCGTTAGTTATCATGCCTTTCACTGTACAAGAACAATGACAGCCAAGCCAGCAGGTATGTTTTGTATCCTAAGCCATGTGATAACCATGAATGGATGTCATGATGATCACATGATTGGGAAAGTATCAAAGTGGTTTCTGATAGTAAGTGTGAAACCAGCACTGCTTTCAATGATGGGCTCCTTGTTGCAGGCCCCAGGTTTCATAATAGAATAGACATTTACCCCCTCTCAGTACTACAGATTGCTGGTGGCAAGAGGTTAAACCATTAGGTTGCACTGGCAGCCACTGTGAAGTCTTGACTTGACAATTTGTCTATCAATATACAAAAACCTAGCAACACCACTGTGATCTGTGGCCTGGGACATCTAGTACTGATGCATCTATGTCGGTAGTTGCTGAATTTATAGGCTGCAGTGCATGCAGGATTGGTCCAGTTCAAATTATGGCCTATTCCGTTCCATATGCACACAAAAAGGCCACAATTTTGACAGGATGAATGAAATAAAGGTTTTAAAAACGCTCACCTTAACAGTGAGAATAAAAAGGACAGAGGCAGACAAGCTGTGGAAGGTGGAGCTCAGGAATGCCACTTGGTGGAGACTCAGGAATGCAGCTCTGTTCTTCAGGTACCGGTCCCACTGTTCATCAGCCAGGCTGCCCCGACTCAGGTACACAACCACAGTACACACTGACAACACTGTCATCAGCCATTGTATGTAATTCCACAAGTGGGTGAAATACTGGCGTCCCTCCTTCCTTATGACCAGACACTCCGAGAGGACAAAGTACACCACAAACATCATCAGGAAGACCTGTGATAAAATATGAAACAACTCAACTTGAGACGTTATCCAAAGCAACCAATCACAAATCACCATTTACTAATTTGATGTCAGTAGACTGAGGTTTGGCTAGCTGGTAACCCCATACTGCAAGATCTCAGGTCATCCATTTAGTAAAACAGCACAAGACATACCATCATGACTAGGAGGAGGTGGGGTCCGCTGCTTAGGCGCAGCAACGGAAAGGCACGGATTTCAGCAGATGGAAGAGTTCTACCCGCCATGGGGAACTCCAGAAGGAACGTAGCAGAAGAGTACAGGTCAACCCCGGGACTGTACAGGGAGAATTCAACAAACAGCGCTCTCGTCCTGCAGAAATACAACAGGATGATTACATAGCACACAGGGAAAACCAGTCTAAGACATCAGGTGAGTAACCAACATATTTAAACAGGCAAATTTTTGAGAAACCAAAAATCCCCCCTTCTCCCTTTCCCAAACAGCACCAACTGCATGTATTCTAACTTTAAACAGGGAATGTATAGTCTTATCATATATTTCCATTACTTAGGTAAAAATATATAATACTGTATGAGAATATTTTATTTTACACAGCTGGAAAGTTAAGGATCCACTTACACGTGGGTAGCCGGGTTAGAGCAGCTTCCCCACCAGCTCTGTAACACTACTTTCAATTAGAATGAAACAGCCAGAAAACAAACAGCTTCTGCCATCCTCTTTTTTATTTTTTAAGAAAACCCATAAAGTTCTCCGACACCATTAAATATTTATTTGTAAAAAAATGATTCTGGTCACCAGTAAAAGTACGACTGTACAGTATGTGCAACAAGAAGCAAACTCTGCAGTCTTTCTGTAAATCCCATCCAAACCCTGCTAAAGCCCAGCAAAGGACCTATGTGAATTCACGTGTCTAGCTATGCACCCTGCACTGGGTAGCAGGTGTGACTTTACTTCCCATAACCAGCAACCTGGGTTGTTTAAGGTGTCCCAGCAGTGCTAGGATAGGGTGTGCAAAAACCCTGCATGTATGAATTTGCATTTTAAATTATTTTTTACCACACAGGATTACTTTAAATAGATGTCAGCAACGAACCCAGATTAAAAAAATAAAAAAGTATTCTGATCACATAATTTTACCTAACTGCAAAACCTTTGCCAATGGCAGTGACGCCCTACAGGAAAGTCGTTCTTGTTTGTGTTACGCATTGTGCGAATGAAGATTGGTTATTATTACAAAGAACGTTTCCAAGTTCAATCACGATTGCTTAGGCAGTTATGGATCGTACCTGGATCAATTATTCCCAAAGCAGCACAATACAGTTTTTCTGAATTCCCATGTAGCTATTCCATGCATAAAAGGTCCGCCCATGGAATGCGTTTATAAAAGAGAACAAATACAAAAGGTGCAAGGCATGCTACTTACAGATTGTCAATCCAGTGATCTTGTTGGAGTTTCCCTATGATAGCCTCGTTCTCTTCTAAACTAGCTCCCAGCTGCTGACTATACCCAGAGCTGTCATAGAAGGACGTGTAACCCCAGTACCAGGCCCTAAAGACATGAAATAGAGACAGGGAAATGATAATGAATATTAACTTTTTATATAAAATATAAATCTATTGTTTGAGAAGCACCATTAGGTCAAACATACCCTGTATTATCAGGTGGAGAGTGCAACCACGTCTGGGAAGAGGCGAATGAGCTGCTTAGCCAACTGACATCATAACCGGCATCATCAAAGACCTCGATCTCCTTTGGACACGCTCCATGTCTGCATGCTGCTGGGATCAATATTAGAGACATCCTTTAAAACATCTCAAGAACATGCCTGTCCTAAATGTTATCTTCTGAATGACAATCATTAGAACAATATATTGCATTAGAAGGGAGATAATCTCTAGTAGAAGGCAAATTCTCACCCCAACACAATACATTGGTAAGATCTAATCCTGAATATACGGTTCAGTTTTTAGGTTCCAGTTCACACAAAAAAAAAGATGTGCAACAGAAAGAGATCAAGGAAGGTCAACCAAAAGAATAAGGGGTATGGAAGACCTCAGCTATAAGGAAAGATAAACTGAATTAATTTACACTTAAGGCGATCAAAGGTGATGTGACCCTCTTGTATAAATATAAAAACAGCCCATACAGTGCATTTAGTGGAAAGGTCACTATAGTGGACACAAGGGCACTCCATGTAACTGGAAGAGTTAAAAGGAGATCTATGAGGTGAGTGATTTTCACTCCACCTCATAGTTCGAGCCGACGTGTGACAATGAGACTGTCACACGTCGGCTCAATAGATCGGGAAGTGAGCGAACACATACCGGCGTTTGTTCACTTCTCGATCATCTCCCTTCAGAGAGCCGTGACTGTCAGTCATGGCTCCCTGTAGGGATTCCCACCCCCCTCCCCGCTCCCATCCTCCAGCACTGACTGGAGAAACGGACTGTGGAGGGGATGGGCACAGCTGGCTCTGCCTCTAGATAGGCAGAGCCAGGTGTCACTCACGCAGCTGGGTGGATCGCGACAGCAGTGTCGGGATCCGTCCCGGCTGTGTTGCTCTCAGTATATAGCGAGCTGTAGCTTGCTATATACTGAGCTTTGGGTCACGGGAGGACGCTAGTATATATCCTCCCGTGACCCTTAAGAGAACTATGGTATAAAAAGGTTACCCCACAGTTCTTTACTGTAAATTGTGGAATAATCTTTCACAGGAGCTAGTGCTAGCTGAGTCGGTAGATTGTTTCTAAAAAGGCGATGGATGGGTTTATAAAAGTAAAAACAGCTACTAATATTTATAGGGACAAATATGTATTGTGGGATGTTGATCCAGGGAGTATCTGAATGCCTTTGGGGATCTGGAAGAGTAAACTGGATCACACTTATTTTTCTGGCTTCTTCTGGATTAACTGGAGACTTAGGTTCCTATGCATACAAGGTTTATTGTTTTTAGGTTGAACACGATGGACAATGGTCCATTGGTAATGTACAGTTTGTACCTAGCCTACTGTACTATGCAGAATGTAATACTAGAGTAAAAGGATGAATATGTGTTACTGCAGACAAGTTCTTAGACCATAAAAATGACAGCTGGAATCCAGTTATCATCTTGATGGATGACGTAAAGGAATTTAATAAAATGTCACCGCACCTTTCTTCAGCCGGATTTGGCGTAAACGAGCAGATCCCAGCAAGTTGCTGTAGCTCCCCCTCTGGATGTTGCCCAGATATGGCAGCAAAACATCTGATGCCCAGGCCCAAAAGTCCTCGGACCTGTGAATGTATAATAACCATTCCTTGTCTGTTATTGTCTTGCATGAAAATTCGCAGCTTACAACGACCGAATATATGTGTCAGTGGAGCTCTGTTAATTTATTACCTTGGATGGCAATCAACATCAGCAAAAGGCTAACTTCACAAAAAATTAATTTTAATAAGCAAACTTGTGCTTTTGTACATGAACGTGGGATAATTGTTGGCGCGAGCCATGGAGCGAGTATCAGCAAAACAGCAGAATTTGTTAAATGCTCACGAGCAGCTGTTGTTAAAGTGTTTAAAGACCAGACTGTCAGCCTAAAATCTGGGTCTGAACGTGCGATCCCCCCAAATTTTCATACGCCTCTTATACAATTAGCAGTTACAAACCCCATTGGAATCATGCATTTGATTAATAATGTCTGAGCAGTACCTCCTAATCTGCAGGAATCTCTGGCTGGCTAGCTCTTGTCTGACTGAGCGTTGCAGCAGGTAAGCGCTGGAGTTCACAGAAGCATCACCATAGTTTGTCAGAAGTACTACCAGAAAGAAGAGCATGTACACCACCAGGTTCTGTGGGGAGAAACATTTGTAGTAGAAAGCAGCAGAACAGCGTAAAGCATGTAGGGCCCAGGACGGGAGGAAGAGGTCCCGGGACTGGTAATCAGCGGTCACCAGTGGCCCCTTCCTCCTGTCCTGGGCCCCCTCCAAGTGGCCGAACTCCAGGGCCCGGTCGCGGCCGCGACCTCTGCGACCCTGGTAGTTCCGCCACTGGTAAGCAGACAGTAGACATGCGTAATGTCTGCACATTCTGATTTCCCAAATCATTCATTCCTTAAGGTTCTAAAGAGCGTAAGCAGGACATGCGTCCATTTACCTTTAGCATCCTGTGCAGCAGTTTCACCTTGCGAGCCTCCTCTCGGGCCTGGAAAAGAGCAAAGCCTTGCGGGGGCCGGACCTTCGTGATTCTTTCAGAGACGTGCTCCACCAGTGGGGACTCTACAAGAGTGTCCTCCTCCTCGGGGTGCAAACGCTTCACCACCAAAGCAAAGTACAGAGCTTCTGCCAACACCTGCCGTGAATTCAGAATATCAGGCTATGATATGGGAACACTGAAAACGCTCTTGTGCACAGTAATGCCAACCAATAAGAGGAACACAACATTTGTTTTTGTTTTTTTACTAACTAAGGATTTGCACAACCTTACTGTATAACTCTACAACCACAATGGTAAAGTAGTAACCAACTTTGGGCATTTCTGCTTTGCTGCACTGGGGTCCCGGTTTAAATCGCGGTCAGGATATTATCTGCAAGGAGTTTGCATGGGTTTCCATTGAGTAATCCGGTTTCCTCCCACACAGGAAGAATAATTAGCTCTTGTCTAAACTGGCCATAATGTGCGTATGCATGTGAGATAAGGACCTTAGATTGTAAGCTCCTTAAGGGCAGGGACCAATGTGAATGGGCATTATGTAAAGCAGTGCATCAATTGTTGGTGCTATATAAATACCTGTAATACATAAATAAAATTTTTATAACATCTACATGAGCACAAGAATAGCTGACTTTTTTCCTGACCCTCATTTGCTGTAGGCGTGTTTCGGGCCTGTGCTTCTGAAGTACTGGTGCCCCATAACTGGCATGTTTCAGAAGACCAGCAATGGCAGCATTCACATATCACACCCTTTAAAAGTGTTGACCTTCCTAAAAGTAAGGTGTTTTAATACAAAAAAACCTCTTATAAATCTACTGCAGCTCTCACCTTCAAAGGCTCCAGGACAAAGAATGAGAAAAGGAAGCTGAATATTCCAGATATTAACCACATAAGGCCTACGCTGGAGGTGAAGCCCACTCCAATCCACACAGATACTCCGAAACAGCAGAGGAGGAGAAAGCAGCTGAGAACGTGAGCTACCCGGGTGCACCAAGAGGGTAACATAGTGCCACGTCTCTGGAAGGCATCTGTGATAACTGTAGAAGAGAGAAAAGACTGCAGATTGTAACCAGTAACCGTTATATAAACCTAAATACCTGACCAAACTAAAACCACAAGTTACCTTCTACCAAATAGCTTTGGGGGTCTGTGTCGATGGGCTCTGGGGGGTCTGCGTTGATGGGCTCTAAAATCTGTATTGATGGACTTTGAGTCGATGGGCTTTGGGGGTCATGTCGATGACCTCAGTTTGAGATGCTTCTGAAATCTTAGAATTCCTTGACAGGTGCCGTTGACTTCCAGGGGCTCAGGTTTAAATGTGGGTGTTACCTAAGGCAGTCTGTGATTTTTCAGGAAGCTATAAACAGCATCCTGCTTGTCCCTCTCACCAACAATGATCTACTTTCACTGCATAGAGAAGCACAGAGACCCAATGATGATGTTTTACTTATCAA